AAAAAGAGACGTGTAAATGGACTAGAAGAGAGATTGGGCAAAGTCTCCGTTATGCATAACGATTTTACTAGCGTTAATCAATTCGTTATCGTTACACTGGCTTTAATCCGTTAGTGTACGTTATACTGGGAATTTTGCTGATAAAGTTGTATCTAGAACGAATTTATAATAAGGGGTTTTAAGATTCTTAATTGTATTGAAAATAACTTTCTACAATAATTAAAACATTCTTCGTCAAATTATAAATTAAAAAATAAGTCAAAAGGAAGTATTAGTTTAAAGTCATTTTCTAGTATATTGTAGCATAACATTGATTAAAAGATAGTTTGTACAATAAAAACGTTAAAAAGTAGTATATACAGTATAATCACTCCAAATACTGACTTCTCTGGTTTGAAATGAATATGCAATAATCCTACATAACCAAAATAATTAAACATCTAAAGAAATATCTGTGGTTGGTAAAGCTTACAAATGTTTATTATAATTAGCAAACAGACTGAAAAATAAAGTTCCTATAACAACCCATCCAACCAAGCCTGTAACAAAGAAAATGATTACTTTTCCTAATCGCCCTCTTCTTGTACGTTTACTACTCGTATGGACAACTTCATCTAGGTCATAATCAACTCCAGATATAAAAAGCAATAGTGCAATTAAAGCATAATGCCCATCTAATTTAAATGCTGGCAGAATGTTAAGAACACCTAGTGCAAGTGAAAAAGAAATAGTATACCTAAAATAATTTTATACCATATTAAGATTATAAGTAATCAATCATTCAGCTGTGACACATAAAAAAATAAATTTAAATTTTGTTACCGTAAAATCAACTCGATAGATATTGGAATCCACGTCGGTACCCATGACCATCTGGGTTGAAGGATACTAACTTGTACTAATTTTAATGTGTGTGTGAAAAGCATTCATATATATATAAGGTTTACGAAATTTCAAAATTTCTTCCATCAATTATATATTGGAACTCACCAATTTCCCACACATCAACAAGTTCTCCAAGATATAATACAAGTTTCTCCTGTTCATTATTTTCTTGAACCCATGGTGCATCTTTATAAAATATTCTTAAAGGTTTCGGATAACCTTTTGGTGTGTATGGTAAAACGCACATTGACGATCCAGATGGACAGTCGATATCACGAAGGCAACGTTGTACATCAATATTTACGAGAATTGGTATTGTGGGCAAACATTTCAACTCCTTGAAAAGACATACTTTTGTCAAAAAGGATGTTTATGATGAAAGTTATTAGAAAAGCAGAAAGCCAAACCTGTTTATGCGCATTGTTTTCATCAATTCTTTTAAAACATGTTGTTATATTATCTTTTGCATTTCCATAAGGATGTTCTGCAGAAATATCACAACAATCCAATGATGTCGCATCCCTTCTTGAAGCACAAAATCCTATAGGGTCAAGATCCAGTCTTTCATTTTGTAAAAGATAATCATTCCAACTATCTAATGATGACTCTGATAAATCGTAATCATCTAATTTCGTTATCAACATTGAAGGTTTTAAATAAGCAGACAATGCAGTATCCTATCAAATAAAAATATGATAAGAAACTATGGATATGATTATATTCATGCAATCGAGTGTAATAATTATTATAACGTACTCTTTCAACAGAAACGACACTGACTCCGAAACCGTCCACTAGCCTCCAAGAAGTGTAGCCCATAAACATCGTCAATATCCCAGAACTAAGCATAAGTGTACCCAAAAGAAATAAGACAGCATTGTGCCACACTCCTGCACATATTATGCGAAGTTGTTTAAGAGGTGCAAGCTCTTTTAATTCTTTTAAATCGAATTCTGTAAAAGCTCCTGGATAAAGGATATACAAGAATATTCCCGTCGATTGGATATCAAGACGTTCACTTCAAATTTAAATAAAAAGTATGTTATATAAAGTTAATCATAATAATTACATGTGTATAATTTATTATACTTTGCGGCGGCAAGAGCATGTCCGGCTTCATGTATTATTCCGCATATCAAAAGTGACAAAAGGTAATACCAAAAGTGTGAAATTGGTAAAGTAATGCCAGGAATCTGAATATTAAGATTTTGTATCATAAATTTTGGCAATGAATTCTAAAATCATTATACATTCTGTTTTTTTTTTTTTTTTACTTACCACAGGAATAAATACTTGGTTATTTTCATCATCTACGTCGTGTCGAACATGTTCTTCAAAGCTCCTTTTATTTATTATATTCGATGATATATTTTCTACCTCGCCTGTCCAACTTAATCCAAGTAATTCAAGTATCCCAATCAAAAGTTTCCAACTAGCCACAACCATGATCCCAATGCCAAAGAAGAAAGTCACAATGCCCACTAATACTCCAATATTAAACCATATTTTCCAAACATTTGGCATTCGTTTGGCAAGTGATACAAAAAAATTATTCAAAGCATTAGTTGAAAATCGTATATTGAAAGGATTATTTGATATGTGAAATGTCGGAGAGTAACTTTGCCGTGATGATCTTGATGTAGGAAGGACTTGTGATATCCGAAGGTTGTTTGTTAATGTTTGCTATAATAAATCATCGGCTATTATATAAAAAATGAATTGGCTTCGAAATCAATTTTAAAAAGAATATATACTTTTGCCTGTAATCTCTGCTGTATGAAATGAACGATTGTATGAACGATTAGCCAGAAGCTAAAGAATGTCATTAGTAAGTCGAGCATTGTTTTTGTTTTGTTTTTTTATATTTGAAGATAAAAGTTTATTTAGGGATAAAAACAGGGGTTTACTAATTTCCCCCGCCACTTCTGATTGGCATGGTAAATATTGTCTCTGATTGGGCGATCGGGGTGGGGAAAAATATTCTTTATGCACCGCAAGTGTTACTTTTGATATAATAATTACGTATTTATTAATTTTTTTTTTTAAATAATTCTTTCTGTCTTTTAATACTAACGTTTAGCAATTCGTTTGAATTTAGCAGCTCTTTAATTCTTGCGCGATCGATTAAATATATTTTTTTATCGATTCTACTAAATCTATCGTACTGTGTAAAATTGCTATTGAAATAGTAATAATAATAATAATAATAATAAATAAAATTACAAAAAAACTAAAAAAAAATATTTAAAAAAATATTTAAAAAATATTAAAACCACTTCGTTGTTTTATTTCGTTTAATATGTCAACTTTGCCTGATAATATTTTCGATATTGAAGAGGACGTTGATATGGATATCAGCGATAGCGAACTCGATAACATGCTTGACTCAATCCTAGATGCATCAGATGGAGTTGGTCAAGTGTGGGAGGCTACAGATGATGATCCAGAAGAGACACAAGAGGTGGAAAAGGCTAAAACATATCATTTACCAGTAAATGAATATGTAGAGTGGATTAAAAGCCTTGAAAAGGCTGGCCTTAGTTATAATCGGCACGATCATAAGATTAAAATAGGCGCAAAAAGAAAAAATGAGTGGACTGAAAGATGGCTTTGCCATCGTTATGGGGAATATAAGAGTACTGCTGGAAAAAATCCAAATCAAAAATCACGTTTAATTCAAAAAGAAACGAAAAAATGTGGGTGTAAAAGTTACATTAGTGTCGTACGTCCCGTTAACTCATCAACGGTTACCCTAAAATATTACTATAAACACCGTAACCATTACCCTGGCCAACTTTCAGACCTGTATACGCTTCCTCTTTCGGACAACATTCGCCAGTTTATTCAGCAGCGTGCTCTTGAAGGGTTCGACGTTTTTAGCATCCATAAATTCATGCGATTCCGGGCAATCGAATTGCAAAATCAGGTTCTATTATTAATTTTTACTAATTTACATTAATTATTATTATTTTATATAAGTTATGTATTTTTTTTAAATAAGCAGTTATTCTAATTGTATACGGTTGCCTCACTTTAATATCCAAATCTTTTCTGGGTATGGTTAGAATATTACTAATATGGTATTAGAGTGAGGTACCTGGATACGATTAGAGTATTTAATTAAAATTTTATTTATTTATTTTTTTATGAATTTAATTTTTTTTTTATATATAATTTTTAATTAGATTAATTCCGAAGATCGTTTGAATAATGTGCAAACACTACGGGATGGGCTAATAACGCGTGATGATATCTATACGATCGTCTATAATACGATGAAAGCATCCGCCTACTTTGATAAAGATGAGTTCCGTTCTTTGGATAGGTGGAAGAATATTATAATTAGTAAGGGCGGGGTTTGTGTATATAGAGAACACAATGAGGCGGATGATATTGGATTTATTTTTATGTTCCAAACTAAAGAACAGCGATAATTAATGGAACATGCAAGAGTAGTGTGTTTAGATGGAACACACGGGACGAATCATCATGGATATCATTTATTCACGCTTATTATACGCCATCCAGTTGCGGGTAGTGGATATCCGGTCGCATTTCTTATAAGTAAATTTAGACGAACATCAACATTAAAGGAATGGTTCGAGTTTTTAAGGCGTGAAAATGAAGAATGGAAGCCGGATATCTTTATGGTCGACGATGCAGGAGAAGAAATAAAAACGTGTCAAGAAACTTTCCCCGATAGCTCTGTGTTTTTGTGTCACTTCCATGTTTTGCAGTCTTGGAGTCGAAAGTTGTGCTGCAAACGTGGCACAAATAATGATCCACTAAAAGAAACTGTTTGGAGTGATCTCTGGAGACTGCTCAAAACGGAAGGATGGAGTGATGCAGAAGCCCAAGCACAAGTTACGGGGACAATTAATCGGTGGCGAGAAATGGGCTCTGAGGTAATAAATAATTTCGCTGATTACTTTAACCGCTGGTGGCGGCCAAAGTATGATATATGGATGGTTTGTACAAGAGGTATTTCTAGAGATATGATGGATACCAATAATTTGATCGAATCATTCCATCGTAAGCTAAAGTATTCTTATTTAAGAGGGCGGCCAGGTAAAATTAAATTAAAATGGGTTAAATTTTTAATAAAAAAA